AAGGCAAAGCATTAAAAATGACATTAAACGTTCTTGGCTCAAACAGTGCCTGCTTCCACCAAAATATGAGAAAATCCCGTCTTCTGTAAAGGTTCACTTTTTAAGAACGATTTATTTTTTTATTTATTTTTTTCCATTTTAACCTGCATGGGCCAAGGATCACATTAACACAGCTCTATTGAAAGCTATGAAGTGTTCTGTAAATGGAAAATTGACCTTTTTTTTTTTTTTAGGTGAAGTTTGCACTAGTTTTAAAGCAGAAACTGCTGAAGAGAGAATTTCAAAAGCTTAGGAAACCTAGTAGTCCCTGATGGCCTGCAGTAATGAGTAAAACCAAATGCTAATTCTGATTTCCTTCCCCCTGTAATTGAAATATATGTGATACTGGAGCTGCAAAGCTGCTGCCCAATTATCGCCAAACTCAGCTGATTTAAATCATCCGTCCAACTTCAGCTTGATGCGAAATGCTCAGGAGGGCCACTGTAAACATATTTATAGCCCAGTAGGATATGCTGAGCTCTTAACATGTGGGTAATAATGTTATATATATGTGTGTGTGTACATATATGTATATATAAAGATACAGCTAAGCAAACTCTTGTGCGTGACAACACAGAGAGCTACCTGGATGTGCAGGAGCTGGCTTATTTTTGTGCACAGCTTGGATTTTAATTGCAGAGTTGCCATGATCCTCCTTTACTGCCACATCCCTGCTTCCCCTCAGTTGGTTTGCCTGGCATATGAGCGTGTGGCACTATGTGAAAGACCGACCACATTAAAATAATATAAAATAGCCCCTGTCTCTTTAGGGTCACTTCTCATGATGGTTTCACAGGGGAGGCTGGGAATCTCACACATCCTCCCAGGGCTAGCACTCGGGGAGTCCTTTTTTCCCCAAAAATCCCTGCCAAATGAGCTGTCTTTGCACACCCACATGGTATTTGGCAGGTAAATACCAACCAGACCATCACACAGAACAGCCCAAGCAGAATTCCTGCCGTGGAAGCTCCTCCCGTGCCAAGCCCCGCAGCTCCACAGGACCAGCACCCCGTGCCCCAGCTCCCATCTCGGTGTCACCAGGGGAAGAGCTGGAGAGCTGAATGTCACATAACAGACGTTTCAGGAAGTCTCTGTAATTTCTTTAATTATTCAGACAACAGAGCACAAGGATAATAGCTTCAAGTACATTCTGATACATTATTTTTAACAGTAATAGATATGTATTTAGTCATAAACTATTCTGTAGCCACCACTATGTGTACATTTTATACAAACTATTGCCATACTCAGACCCTGAAAATGGACGGTGACATCTCCTAGACGTTTTGCACAAGGTTACGACAGTACATCCTTCATACGAGAGCTGTAGCTAGAGGTTGCATTGGTCCATCTAACAAAGCACTTCTAACGCGTGCCACGGAGATGTGATCCAGACGTGACGCGCCGAAGGTTTTGGGGAGAGATGTAATAAATATACGGTGAGAGGGAGGCGTACAGTCACCAGAAATGCGTGCGATGGAGCACAGCGCTGCGTTTCGTTACTTGTTGCAACGGGTTGATCCTGGCATACGGCGGCATCCAAGCTGCTCTCACACTGCAAAGCTCTGCCTTTCGGTGGAGATTAAATGTGGTGGGATCTGATATCTTCTCTTCTGGGGCACGTACCCTACCCTGACGTGGGCTCTGCTCTGGCAGGTCTTTTTCACCTCGGTTGGACTGCGTTCTGTCACTGACATTCAATCCCTGAATGCTTCCACTGCACAACCCCTGGAGGAGGTAGGCTTCCACATTGCCATTTTCTGAGAGCAAAGGCCTTACAAAATGATGGCCGCTGTTCAGAGACAGGGGTCAGAGAGCTGAGAAGCCCTGACACTGCCATAGGAAGGACAAACTCTTAAAAAAGCAGAGACTTATTTGTTCCATGTCCGTATTTTTACATCTGTGCTTGCAGCCCCCAACGCACCAGCAGCCCCTGAAGACCCAGAAGTGGCAGAGTCCCAGCCCTGGTACCTGCAGTGCGCAGTCCCCATGCCAGTGAGAGGTGACACCACTGCCACCACTGTGGTCGTGACCGCAGGGACGGCTGGAGCACTGCAGAGGATGGCATTTACTGAGATGGAGTAGCTGATTGCAGCTGCAGTCTGCAGTCAGAGAGTCTTCAGGCTCCCAAATCACTTCTCACTTGCAAGCACTCCTGCCCAAGGGACAAATCCAGCTCCCTCTAAAGTTGAAGAGGTTCCTCTGACCTTCAGCAGGAGCTGCGTCCCAGTGCAGAGCTTTTGTACCCTGCCTGAGGCCACAGCTCTGTTCTCATCCCAGCAGTCCACATCCTGGCACAGCACTGCTGTGCTGTGAGCATCACCAGCATGCACACCGATGTCTGGCCACAACCAAGAACCATCCCAGATGCTCCAAGGGAGGATGTGGCCCTCAGCTAGAGGCTGCCAGGAACAAGAGAGACCACCTCTTTTCATCCATCTGTTGGAGGCTGCATGCGCGTCCAGGCTTGGCTACCACCTCCCTTCACTGCTCCAGAAACTCCCAGGCTTTGAGCACAGAAGAGCACACTGCTCCTCCACGCATCATCCCAGGAGGACATCTGGACACCACGGAGCTGCCTTCCATCCTGGTGGAGGACACGGCCACGTCTCTGGAGCACAGTGCTGCCCGAAGGGTGAACATCCTAAACCGGTCGAGTAATGGAAACTGAAGAAATGGTGAGAAGACATTCAAGGAAAGCTCCCTTCCAGCATGGTCTTGTCTCAGATGCACACACAAAATGTTTTGCAAATTTTTTCAAGGGATCCTGAAAAGCCTCCATGGAGGAGAGAGGGTCACACACAGCGCAGCAGAACCTCACTGATCAGCACCCCCTAAACTGAGCTCCTGGGGAGGCTTGGAGCTGTGCCCCAGTAGGAGGGCACGGGGGTGGCCTCCTCGCCCTCCTCCTAAAATATGTCTCCAATGCATTCACTAATCCATGGCTGAGGGTTGACAGGGGTGCATTACAGCTAAGGCATGGCTCTCAGTATAAACGAGAATTTTTTATTCCTTTTTTTTTTTTTTTTTTAATTTTATTTGACCAAGGACATTTTGCTCTTCTCCTGGTGGCCCCGAGCCCTGCATCTTTACTCAGGCAAGGTGGCCACTGAAATCCGGTGGCCAGATCCTTCTTTCAGCATCAGCAACATAAATTCCAGTTAATTCACCAAAACCAGTGCCAGCTCCCCAGGTAGGCATCTTCAGGGGATGCAAATCAAAGCTAATCAAACCCACGGAGGTGCTGCAATGTGAATGCAGCTGCCTGCCTTCAGGTTATTTGCTTCAATGGGTTTAGCGCCCTTGGAAATCCATCAAGAGATGCCCACAGCATCCAGATCAGACCGGGAGGAGAATGAGGACCCAGCACTGAAACTGGAAGAGGGGAAGCATTGCCTGAGCAAGGACGGGGAGACTGGGTGCTGGTGAGGGAAAAGGGAAAAATTTGCCCAGTTGTTAGTGCGAATGAGTGAGGTTCTACTGTTAGTACAACAGGTTCCAGGTTACGAGCCGATGTGATGGATCTCTTTCCTTATTCAATGTACCAAAATTAAAAGTTATAAGCAATATATCTAAACAAAATAATGGGCACTCCTGTAGGCATTATGTTTCCAAAACCAATAAGCCAAAAAAAAAAAAAAAGGAAAGAAAAGAAAAAAAAATGAAAGAAAAAATAAAAAAAAAAGAAAAAAATGGGATGCACCAGGAACTCTTAGTTATTATATACTAACCAGACTGTGCATGGCACATTTTATTTCTATAAAACTATTAAAACTATTACAAAATATTCAAAAATACATTTTAGTAAATTTACAGCAGTTATTTCTCAATTTATTAATGCAAAACATCCTTTTCTCCCCTCTGTACAAACTACCGTCTCCATCGTCACAGAATTGCCGCCATGTGCGCTTTTTAAAAAATATTATTTTCTAATAAACTTTTCTTGAAGTTAAAAATAACAAAGTTTCTTACGGTTTTTGCAAATAAAAAGTTTGTGTAACAGTCTTGACTTCCATGAACGTGGCCAAATGGTGTTTTTTTTACAAAGCAAAATATTTAAGAGACATGGAAAACAATACAGGAAATGACGTTACATTTGAAACTATTTAAATTAAAATAATATATTCTCATATTTTACACTATTTCAAAAAATGAAATGTGATTCAGTTAAGTATTGATCTCTCAAAAAAATCTAATTTACAATTCTGTGTATAAAAATATAATTTACGGACCCCCATGAAGTTTTTCTCTTTTTTTTTTTCTTTTTTTTTTTTCTTTTTGTTTTTGCTTGCTTGTTACTCTAGACTCACTGAAATGAAGGAGCAATGTAATGGAGAGATGGGAAAGTACAGAATTTTGCTTTCTGAAAGTCAGGACACACGTGACATGTAGAAAAATAGACTCTGCGCAGTTTTGCTCGGCCTCACAAAATAATTTTTTTTCCCCTGTGAGTACAGTTCACATGATAATAAATTATCAAAGAAACTATTTAAGGCTCTTGAAGGTCCGGTTCATATCATTTAAAACATCTATTCAACATACCAAAGAAATAAATATCCAGGAGAGGAAGAAAAAAACAACAACAACAACAACAAAACAATGAACAAAACAAAAACAACAACAAAAAACACAAATAAAAATATATATATATTTATAAACTAAACGGAACAGAACTTCCCGGGGTCTTTGTTTCCCTTAAAGTCTACTTTGGACTGTCCTACTTTATTATTATTATTTTATTATTATTATTTTTAAGTCTTAATCCGTGCTCTTTTTTAAAAATATGCATTTTTTTTCCTTTTTTTTTTTTTTTCCATTTCATTTGGGTTATTTCCTTTTTTTTTCTTCTTCTTCTTCCTCTTTTTTTTTTCCTTTTTTCTTTTTTTTTCTTTTTTCCTCCTTCCCCTCCCGCCCTCCCCCAACCAAAACACCCCAGCCCCATTTTCTCTCTCTTTTTTCCACCCGCTCCGTCTCTGTCCCTCTCCGGCCGCTCTCAGCTGGCCGATGCCACCATGCCCAGCGGGTGCAGCGCGTCGCCATCCAGCACCCAGCTGCCGATGCGGTAGAGGAGCCGCGAGTACCAGTGCACGCCGGTGGTGGCGGTGGCGGTGACGGGGGCGTCGCCGCCGGGGCAGATGGCGGCCAGCAGCCCCTGGAGCAAGCGGAAAGGCGCGAAGGCCCAGTGGGCCCAGCCGTGCTCCTCGATGACGGCGTAGCAGGAGGCCAGCACCCGGTTGATGAGGATGGTGCCCTGGGCTGTGAGCGGGGCGTAAGCCCCCGACGCCTCCTCCCTCAGCGTGACGCGGTGCACGGCCGCCGGCAGCAGCTGCCGCCCTCCTTCACCCAGCACGTAGACGCGCTGGCCCGGCCTCACGCGGCTGGCATAGAGGGCACGGCCTCCGGCGGGCCCCAAAACCTGCGACTGGTTGTGCTGGGGGGCCACGAAGAGCAGGTGGGCCGCCTGTCAGCAGCAGCCGGGCCCGTGGCTGCCGCGTCTCGATGACGTAGAAGAGCTTGCGGGAGCCGTCCTCGCGGTCGAGGAAGGCGAGGAAGTCGCTGTAGAGCAGCCGGCCATCAGCGTCGGCAGCCAGCACGCGGTCCCCGGGGCTCAGGTCCTTCACCAGCTTGGTGCCGCCGTGCTCCAGGTGCACCGTGGCCGAGCCGGGGAAGCAGCCCCCGGATTTGGCCGCCACCGAGTTTTCTGCACAAGGAGAGAGGCACAGCGGGGTTAGAGTGGGCACGGGTCCCACCCGTGGGTCCCACCCATGGGTTCCACCCACCCCAAACATCTCCAGAAGCTCAGCCAGCCCCAGAAGTCCCCTTCCACCAGCACAATGCCACGGCCGTCCGGGTGGGCCTCCCTTTGGAGCCCGTCAGTCGCGTTCGCCTCCTTGGGCAAACTGGCCCAAACACCTTGGCTGAAAAAGCTGTTCCGGAATAAATATTTTTCCAGGAGGAGCTTTTCACGTGGGTGCTGTTTGCCCTGCACCTGACAGCTGCTGCCAGGTAACACATGGGCCTGCAAAGCAGAGCGGCTCTGCTGGAAGGAGGTCGCTCCTCCTCCAGGGGGCCGTTCCCCATGCTCAGTGCCCTCGGGGAGCTCATACTAAAGGAGCCCATCTCCTAGGCAGTGAACACCACGGGGCAGGAAGGTGGCTTGGACAGGTTTGTGCTTTATTCCCATGGAAAGCAGCAGGGAGAGACCCCCCAGAGACCCCCCAGATTTGCTGAACCCTCCTCCTATGGCCGGCATACCTCATCATTCTGCCTCTAGACCACGCTGCCCCAGCTCTCTCTGCCTTCCCCCTCAGCACAGCAGTTTCTGGGGTCCACACCCCATCGCTGGTAACACCCCTTCCCTGCAGTCCCCAAGACTTTGGTTCACTCCTCTCCCCAAACAGAAGCCTCTCCCTCACCTTCCCACCCCACCAAAAGCAAGGTCCTGTCCTGGAGCAGTGGTTCCAGGGCATCCCCATGCCTACGCCCAACACAAGCACCTCCTTCACATGCTCAGCTGTTGCTGGAACTACTCAGAGGTAGTAGTTTGACACTACTAGTTTTAGTTTTGACACTAAATGCCATAGCCACCACTGCTGATTTTGAGTGTTAGCAGGAGAAATAACTGTAGGTTTAAACAAATCAGGAAGAGTGACAAGGGTTTAAAGTGTCTCCAGCAAATTCCCTTATGAAAGTAGCTTTGTGTGGTATGGTTGGAAAGGACCATTCCTGTTTTCCAGACTTAGCCTAGGGACTGAGGGGTCTCATTTTCTCCACATTGGGCTGTAGCCCATGGTATGTCACTGCGGCAAGTGCCTTTGCTACAGTCATCAACATTCCTGATCCTTCCCTTGCCTTCACTTGGTTTCTCCCAGTTACTCACTATGCCAGTTCAGAGTCCTGGTAATTTATCTCCTAAAGGCAGTCGGATTTTATATTTTGCCTCTGTGGCTGTTGCTGAAGCTATTATGATTTAAATAAACACTTGGAGTGTCTCCTAATGACTTTCTCAGGAAGGACAGGAAGGGCGAAAATTAGAATGTTATTGATTTGCTAACGACTTTATCACTTCTCCTTCAGAAATGAAGCAGCGAGATCTCCAAGGCCTCTTCAGGGAGGACATGGCAACAAACAAGCTATGTGCTTTATGCTGAGTCCTCCACTAGCAAACTACACCTTCGTACAAGCCCGCAGCAAAGGTCTGGCTTGAGCTTTGTTTGCATATTCAGGGACTTGATGAATAGATCTAGTAGTGTAGCAGCTCTACAAACATGCCAGTGAATTGGCAGAGGTGTGAAAATCTGCTTCTTTGAGCAGCGCTTGTTTGGGTTCTCTAATTAAAATCCAATAAAGGATCAGCATTGTCATTCTGATTCATGTAATAAATGCAGACACTCTTGGAAGAGAGGACACTTCCATTTTTTTCCCAGCTTCTTCCCCCCCTTTTCTCCCCCTCCCTATTTGTTCAGGTGCAGAAACCCTATGTGCCAATTCACACACATACTCTCCAAAAAACCCAGGACCTTCCAAGCACTATTTGCACAGCAGAGCCACTTTTCCAAGGCACTCAAGATGTGTATTTGAATTTTAAATGTAGAAGCTTGCTCTAAATACTTGCTGTAGCGCATTATCAATGTCCTTTTTACCACCCCTGCCTCTCCCTCCTCTGTCCTGGTGACAATAATTCAGGCCTTGGGGGAACTCTTCTTTGCATTCCAGTCTCCGGGATCATACTTTTTGCAAACAGAGATCTAGATAAAGAATCTTCCTGCCTGCCATTATGGGGGTTTAATCTTCTCATAAGATGCTCTGTCATGAAACGAGGTTTCCACAGTGTGAAACCAGACCAAGCGGGTGGAATTCAAGCCTGCTCCCTCGCAACCCGCGTGGTACAGTCACACGACCCTGCCTGACACGCACTAAATGTTACCCCAAAGTCCGCGTGTGCGGAATCTCAATGAGCAGCTCGGGGTTGCTCCTCTCCTATGAAATATACATGGAGGTGGATTAGGGTGGCCGCCTGCAAGAAGGATTTTGTGCGCCACAATCAGACACCTTGAGCTATAAAGCCCATCCTCGCTATTGAAAGGGACGTTTCATACCACCACAACCCTGACGCCTTTGAGGGGACCCCTTTGAGCTAGAAAGGAGTGGGGAGATGAACAAAAGCATGTGTCAGGCTCTGGGGACAAAGCCCTTATGGGCCTGGAGAGGTCCCGCTTTGGTTTGGGCAGCTTCAGGCTGCACCGAGAGGATGAGCCCCACTTACAGACAGGTATGGTGAGGCCAGCCAGGTTTCCCTTACATGGGGGCTACAGATTTTAAGGTAAATGGATATATTTAGAGAAAGCCCATTATATTCATTTGCGCCCAAGTGTTTCTTGGCACTTGCAGCGCTCTGTTGGGCCAGAGGATGCTGTCACAACGCACTCCAGCTGCAGGAGGTGGCGACGGTGGCTGGCACTCACCAACCGGTTCGCCCAAATAAATAAAAGTAAATAAATAGATAAATAAAAAGGTGCCAAACTGCGCAGAGAAAATGCAACTCGGCGAGCTGGGGATTTCTTGAGAGCTGTTCCCGGGTTGAGACAGCGTGTGGCGTTGTAAGCACAGGGGAGGGAAAAAAAAAAAAAAAAAAAAAAAGTGTTTGTATCTGCATCTGGGAATTTCCTAGCGGCTACCGGCGAAGGCAGGGGACCACGTTATGTATTTATTTTCCTGGCCGGCTCTCGCTCCGAGATTAGCGATCGCGAGGAAGGCGTGCAGCCAGCGGGGCAGCTGGAGACGGCCACCGGCTGTTTGCGCCGAACGCGCTCTTTGGATGGGGAAAGCACAAAATCCCACGGTGGGAGGAGAAGGGTGTGTGGCTGCTCGTGGGAAGGCTGGCCAAACAAACAAGCGAAAGAAAACGCTGTCAAAAAGTGCTGCAGCTGGCTGGGCTTTTTTTTTTTTTTTTTTTTTTTTTTTTCCTTTCCCCCTTTCTTTTATACCAGGGGGGCTCGGAGGCGGGAGCAGGCAGGTGCTGGCGCTGAACCTCCGCTCCGCACCCCCAAAAGACCTCGACGGGGCGGGCAGCACTGATGGCGATGGGGGAATGGGGGACCTGGAGGCACAGAGAAAGGTCCGGGGGTGTCCCCCCCACCTCTTACCTGCTTTGACGGAGCAGTGGATGTGCGCCTTGGACTCGTAGTACACCCAGTCGAAGCCGGCCTCGACGGCGAGGCGGGCCAGCATGCCGTACTTGCTGCGGTCCCGATCCGACGTGGTGATGTCCACGGCGCGCCCCTCGTAGTGCAGCGACTCCTCGGAGTGGTGGCCGTCCTCGTCCCAGCCCTCGGTCACCCGCAGCTTCACCCCGGGCCACTGGTTCATCACCGAGATCGCCAGGGCGTTCAGCTTGTCCTTGCAGCGCTGCGGGGACACGGGCACACAGGGAAAGGTTGCGGGGGCACTGCTGCAGCCAAGCCCGGATCCCCCCACACCCCTCAAAAAAAAAAACAACCCTCTTTGCACCCCAAGGCCACATCCTGAACTCCCTCCCTAGCCAAAATCGGCCGCAACCCCCCCCCCCCCAAAAAAAAAAACACCGCAGAGCGGGCTGAGCATCTCCTCCCCCGCTACCAGGGAGACAGGTGAGGAAGAGGAGGGTGAGACTTGGGGGCACGGGAGGAAGAGGGGGTGAAAAGCCAGGAGCGGGGGCCGGGATGGAGCCGACCCCTCCCCGGCACCTGCCGGGGGCTCCCCCCGCCCCACAGCTGGCTCCGGGCCGTGGGTGCGTGGATTCAGAGCCACCCGCAGGGAGCAGATTCCTGCCACCGACTGCCCTGTCCCCCTGTCCCCTTCCCGAGAGCAAAGTTTCTGCCGAGAGCAAACACTCGCCACCTCGAAGTCCCCCCGGAACGTCTCCCCTGGTCTTTTCAGCTTAATTCTGTGTTGAAAGGGGTCTCAGTACACGTTAACAGTCATTATGCGTTGAAGGGAGACGTGCTTTTATTTATATATATATATATTATTTTATTTTTTCTTTCTCTCCCTTCTGCCATCACTCGTTAGAGCCCCCAAAGCAGCATGGGCTGGGAGCCTTCACCCCACTTTAACACACATCCGAGCTCACCTCGAAATAGGAGCAAACCCACGGCAGAAAGAAACCAGCTCATAGAGGGAAGATGGAAAGCAAGGGAGGGCCAAGCAGCGAAGTTAGGCGAGGCAGGGATGCTACGAGGGCTGCGAGAGCCTTTGTGTGGAAGGGAAAGGTTTCGGGCCCCATGGGGAAGCACCGCAGGGTTTTTCCTTCGCCCCTCCTGAGCCGCCTGCCTCCCCGGGGCTGCACCGTGCGTGGGGGACCCTGGGGGGCCGGGAGGTTTGGGGGTGGAAAAAGGGTGGGGGAAGATGGGGAGGGGGAAGGGAGGGAGGTGATGCAGAAGTGGAGGGGGTGAGCTCTAAATGGGACCCTAAAAGTTAGGGGGATTCGTGCCTTGGCCAAGAGGGGGGACAGGGCAGCTCTCTGCAGGGGAAGGGGCTGGCAGCCCCAAGACACGGGAAATCAGCACCCAAAGCTCTGAAAAGCGCTCGGCTACAGGTACAACATCAGAAAAAAAAAATATCACGCGTGGCCAACTCCCCCCAACTCCTTCTCCTTTTTATTTGAGAGGAAAACAACCCACGGGTGTCCCCGGCCTGGCCCCAGCAGCTCCCCCCCGGGCTCCCGCAGCCCCCCCGGCCCGCCGAGCACCACAAAGGAGGCCGGGCCCGGCCATTATTCCGGCGACACTGCTTTTAGGGACGTGACAAGGTTGCTCAACAAGAAAGTTGCCGTGTGTATATATCACGGCCATAAAAAAAGAAAAAAAAAAAAAAAAAGCCATGCCAGCAATACGCGTCTCCCGCCGAGATACCGAGCGCAATCGCTGCTTCACTTTGGACTCTCCGGCCTGGCTCTTGACGCAAAGAGCCGGGCGTTTGGGGATTTTCAACCCAATTCCCGGCAGCAAAGCCCAACAGGACGAGGAAGTTGAGTTGGACTTTCTTTTTTTACCCCCCTTATTTTTTTTTTTTACCCCCCACCCTCGCACACCTGGAGGATGGCTGGGCTCCTCCGCTGGTTTGTTTAGGGGCGAAGGACCCGGAGTCGGGAGGGATGAAGAGGCAGAAAGGAGCTCCTAAAGGACTTTTCCTCCCTTTCATACCGCCTGAGCTGGATTGTCGGAGTCAAAAGCCGTGAAGCCCAGACTATTTATTAATTCATTGGGTCGTGTGCCACAAATCAAGCCCAATTCTGTTCAGCCACCGTGAAGCTCAGCAGGGCTGCCTCCACTAACGCTTTGTGTGGAGGCAAAGTTGTTCAACAAGCCCTCTCCTGCCAGCTCCTAATCTCTTCACAAATGAATTGCTTGAAGGAAACACTTAACAGGTACCTGTCAGTGTAAACAACCTGGTGGGCTTCCTAAATGCCAAGTTGATCTCTAAATTCCTCACATCACGCACCGGTTGTGTGCCTGCATTACGCGAGATTGCGAGTTTATTTCATACAAATTCCAGCTTTATCATACTGCCCCGGCCTCCTTATCTCTTGGCCGGATCCAGCCAATGGCTGGGGTGGGGGGGAGGAAGGGGGAGCCTTCAGCAAACTGCTGTTGTCACCTGCAAAGTTGAGAACCTGACTTCCCAAGCTCTGTTTGCGTTTCTTTTTCCTTCCCCCACACCCCCCCCCTCCTCCGGAGTTAATATTAACCAGCGGCTAATGCATTCGGCAGCTATTCTCCAAGTTTAACGATTCTATTCGGGGAAGATCTCTCCATGCTTGAAGGGCTGGCCAAGCGGGCGGTGCAGGGCTGGGGTTTAACGAGAGGGAAAGGGGACACGGCACCTCGGGGGCTGTCCCCAGACCCCTCCCCAGTCCCTGCCAGCACCGTCTTGGGGACCCGGGGCCCGGCTGCGCCTCCGACCCTTCCGGGGTACCCCCATCCCTTCTCCCCCCTCCAGCCTCACCTCCCCAGCCCGCCTCCCCCTTTGTGTCTAAGGCACGGGCACTGAAGGAAAAAAAAAAAAAAGTATTTGTTTTCGTTTCGTTCGTCTGAGGGAAGTTGACAGAAGGTCAGGAGTTCAGCCGCTGCCAGCTAATGCAGCCGAGAGCGGCCAGCCGCGGAGCCGGGGAGAGCCGCGGGGCCGGGGTCAGCCCCGCTGCCCACCCCCCCCCCCCCGGCCGTATAACCCACCTTCCCGGCCCTATAGCCCACTTTCCCGGCCCTACAGCCCCTACCCGGCTCCGCCACCCGCACACACGAACCGGCGCGGCCGCGCAGGGATGCGCCGTGCCCCGGCGGGCGCCCGACTCCCGCGGAGCCTCCCTGCGGAGGGAAGGGGGAAAAGCCGAGGCGGCGCGATCGATGGGCGAGAGGAGTTCAGTGGAGCTGAAAATGCGGGAGATGCGCCCGCACGGCTCGCACAGGGGGGGCGGAGGAGCGCGCAGCGGGGCGCGCAGCGCCGGGGAGGGGATGCTCCGCGCAGCGCCATGCGCGCAGCGAGCACCGGGATCCGCGCGGAGAGCACCCAGAGCCGAGCAGCGAGCGCCGAGAGCCGTGCTCCCAGCTCCCAGCAGAGCACCCCGAGCCCTCAGCACCGCGCACCCCGAGCCCCCAGCACCGCGCACCCGGCTCCGCGCTCCTCCGCAGCCGCGCAGCGCGCAGCGCAGCGGGGCGGGCGGTGGCGCCGTGGCCGAGGCGCGCCGCCGCGCTCCCGGGGACCGGCCGATTTAAGGTGGTCGGCACGAGATGGTGCCCAGCGCCGCCGGTCCCTCGCCCCCCGGAGAGCCGGCAAACGTGCGGAAAATCAGGCCCGAGGAGCGGGGAGAGTTTGGGAAATTCCCCCCCACCCCCCCAGACCCCCCCGCCCCGGCACACACACACACACGCACACCCCCTCGCCGTCCACTCCCCGCCTAGTCCTTCCAGGCGAGTCCTGTTCCAGCGCTGAAGGTGGGGCTTAAATGTATTAATATTAAAAAAGCGCTGTTGACCTATATTTGGAGGAAACCCATTTCCAGTGCCTAGATTGCATGTAGTTTCAGAAACTCCGGGATTGGCAGAGCAATTGACTTCACCGAGCTCTCTGGTGAGCATGAATAATAATTATGAGGTGACTCTTTGAGAGGTTTTCTCTCTCTCTTTCTCTCTCTCTTTTTGCATAAAATGGTTCCGCAATCTGATTCCACCCGAGATCCAATATTTACCCAGTTGTAAACCTTGTGCCATCAGATTTTTTAAAACAGAAGGTGATGCAATGCTGATAAGTTGCAAGTCCCTCCCCTATGGAAGTACCAGAGCATTGGCGGCGAGCATCCTTAAAGAAATATCAATATATTTACGCTCTGATGGGCACAATTGCAAATGATGGTATTGCAATACGAGCTATATAATACGGAATCAGGAGAGGAATGGTCGATCCGGCTTCAGCTGCCTTTTGTGAGTGCACGACTGCATGCCTACTAAATTTAGAATATGCTCGCGAGGAAGAAAAAAAAAAGAAGAAGAAGAAGGATAAAATGAAATGAAAGAAAAAAAAAAAAGAAATAAATCAAATAAAAAGATCAAGTCAGCAGGCGCACCAACCGAGGACTACGCTTGTAATAATGAGTGAGTGGCCTGGCGGTCACTATACACTTGGGGTCCTCTGAGCTGTATGCAATTCGTTTGATCAAAGTGCATCCTTGGGGACAAATGCAAACAGCAATCGCTAAACCAAGTTACAGGCAACGCCATGGCACGGTAATGACTGTAAGTATCACACAGATCCCCCACCAAATATATCTAGCCAGCTCCAGCTCCAGCCCCTGCTAACTTGTCCTGGATAGATGGGGTTTACATTCAATGGGGGAAACTAGCCGAGTTTGGAGGGGCGGGGGGAGGAGGGGGAGAGGGAAAGGGGGGGCTTTCAAAAATACTAAGACAGATGCGTCCTTTAGGATTGCTCAGAGAGGTTAACAAACACAAATACAGGTATCTCTGTGGCTCTACCTGAGTCATCAGTCTGTCAGCTCCCGTGTTCTCTTCATCCTTAAAAATAATGTCAGGGTTGTAATTTGGGGTTAGTTCTTTAAATCTCTCGGAGTTTCTTGTGATCTTCCCTTCATATCTTCCACTGGCCCCTAGGGTCTTCTCTGCCACATTGGGAATAAACTGCTTATAGGCTAAAGGGGTCAGCTTTTTGGGGTGTCTCCTTTTTCCAATGCCCCTGCCTGGTCCACAAGTCAGCCCAGAGGAGACTAAAAGAGCGCAGATGAAGCCCACCAAGAGAATTCTTGTCAACAGCAGCATTTCGTCCATTGAATCCAATTACTTCAAAGCTCTCTGTGCCTATCCCTGGCTGTCTCTCTAGAGCTCTCTCTCCTCCTATGTCCTTGTCTGCTTTCTGAATCGTATACTATCCACCGATCCCTAGCAAGACAGGTGCTGGAATGGCAGGCTTTAGGTCGCTGATAACGGAACACATCGGAGTTTGGTCGGGAGACAGCAAGCGAGAGACAAAAAGGGTCTGATTTTAATGGTAGCAAAGCAAGACGCTTGTGAGAGGAGTCTGCCTTTAGTTCTATATTATAGCTGCCAGGGCCGAGAGCTGATTGGCCAAGGCGAGACAAGCTTGTCTTCTGATGTTTTAACCCTCAAAAAGGCAACAAATTCTTGAAAGATTTTTTTTTTTTTTCCTTTTACCTGAAGGGCTTGGAGCTGAAAGGGGTGGAGATTGCGCTTTCTTGGGATAACATCAATTACACGCTGTTTTTTTTTTTTTTCTTAAAAAAAAAAAAACTTTCTTGGCAGAATGGTACATTTGTCAGCAAGAGGAACAGATGCCTCTGTGAAATAAAAAAAAATAATAAAGAAATAAATAAGATTAGCGAGCTGTCTCGGTGCAAGGCAAGTTTCTAAGGGCAGTTTCAGGGAGATAAAATGCCGAATTATCGGGGAACAGTGCAAATAGAAACGTACTGGGGAACTAATAAAGCCCAGGGGAGGCATAATGCCATTTAGGGGTGATCCCACCTAAGTGGCTTTGTAACAGGTTTCTGCCCCCTGCAAGGAGACGTTGCTCTCCCTCATAAAGCCACGCATTTTTAAAACACACTCCCCTTTTAGCTGATAAATGGCTACTTTGGGGGGAGAAACAAGCAAGTCTGATAGGAGACGGCAGCTTTGTGAAGTTGGCGTGTCTGACTTTGTATTCCACAACTGCAAAGTGGAGGGACCCAAGCAGCATTTTCTTCAAAGACCAGAGCTACCACCCGGTTTAAAATAAGGTAGTACCTTGGGAAGTGCAGGAAAAGTCAGCTGATTAAAAATAGATGGTCTCCTGAGCACGCTGGGGCTGTATTCTTTGTTTCTTTGCTCGAAGTCGAAGAGGAGCGTTTTAGACTCCTACACCTCCTCGCGGGGTGTCATTAAGTTTTTAAGAAAAGCGTAGTGTTGAAAGCATCCGCAAACACAATTAACAGAGATCGATCCAAGCAAAGTGAATGGAAGGGGGATAAGTTTAATGTTAAATTAATTGTTATCTCATGCAGCGTGGCAAGTGATGTCTTTATCCCGATCTCCAAAAGCTACTAATCAGACAAAGGTGTTGAAAGACGAACAAAATTGCAGAGATGGGGCTGATAGAGCAGGTTAGACAGAAAAGCAGAGTCCCTTATGAACAAACACTTCTGTTCCTGTAAAGGGCTCATTTGCCTTTGCTCCAAAGGACATACAATTTATAGAAACTCCAAGTTTTTAAAGAGTTCTTAAAATTACCAAGATGACATGCTGAAGTAATTCAAAGTCCACTCTTTCAGAAAAAAAAAAATAAAAAATCTACTTTATTTAAGGAAAAAAAAATGCAGCTCTTTGGGGCAAGCAATTATATGGGAGTTTTCCGGTCTGTGATATAGAGCTGAGTCGTAATCAACTTAAACCACGTGCAAATGGACTTTAAAATTAGTTTTTAAGAAGTACAAAAAAGTTGTATATCCGCAAACTGCAACGGGCAGGACAACACGGACTTTCAAGGGACAAAGTGATCTTTTTACGTAAACTTCAGGAAAAAGCCGAAAGAAGTGGTCTGAAACTCTCAAAGCGACTCTGACTGGTGCTCTTCCCCCTTGTGCAGCGTATTCTTTTCTTCTGTTATTTATGCTTCTTTGTAGAGCCTGAGTGAATCATTGATTTATCATTCCCAACTTTAAACTTGGTCGTTTTAACTTGGGAATGGGTAAAAGTTAGAAAGCCAGTAGCTTGTCTTCTAGGTTTTTATCAACCAGCTGAGCTGCAGAAACAAGTTGTATAACAGCTAAATACCTGCTTCATGCTATTAAAAAACAAACTGAAGTTTTATCTCCCCGTCTGCGTGCATGTGAGAAGACAGATACAAGGAATATATAATTTATACAAAAGAGGGTATGTTCTTTTGATGTGGTTGCTTAAACAGCATGACTTGATATAACAGTTGATTAAACAGTGCCAAGGAATAAAAGCTACTCCTAATGGTGTGGGATCCTGCAAATCTTTTATCACCCCTCTTACCTTGTCCCCCTCCCCAAGGAAAGATGATCGATATGCCGGCCGCTGGAAAGGGAGGCTTTGCAGCGAAGAAGTATTGAGAATAAGGATAAACTCCCTCATTATCAGATTGCCATATGTACAAAGCAGTCACCCAAAGATTAACAGGGAAGGAAACGCAAAGAAGGAATTAATTAAATGCGAGCAATAAATGCACGGGGAGGGGGGGAAAGGGAGAAATCGGGAAAAGTTGGAACTGGGGGAAGCTCGAAATCACCCTCCTATCAAATTAGATGTGAAAGAAAGCAGAGCTGGGGGTGGCTCTGCTCAGTTTCAGCGCAGGCTGCGGCTGCCGGGGCCGGGAGCAGGAGCGGGGCCGGGCCCCCGGGATGCGCCCCGCTTCTCCTCCTCGCCTTCTCCCGGCTTTGACGAGCTCCCCCGCTTCTGGAGGGGGTTGTGGGGGGCTTCGCAATCGCCAAGAGACTCCCAGCATCGTGCACACAGCCCTCCGACCTGCCTCCTGCCCCTGCTGCAGGGGGATGCTGCGGGGAGCATCGCCGCACACATCTCTGCCTGCACCTCTTGGCAAGCAACGCCAAACCGGGCAACAAAACCAGCCACCAGGTCGGGCACTGATGCCTTCTTTAGAGGAATTAATGCCTCAGTTTGGATTGTAAAAATCAATGCTTTGTCCTGTTGTCCCCAAAACCTGCAGGCCGCTTTTTTTGCTCTCTGAGGAGGGAGGTCAGGGCCTGTCCAGGCCCTTAGGGGGGGCAGTGAGATGCTCTGCACCCCTTTCCCATGCCCTTCCACACCAAAGTCCTCACAAAGAGGCCCCCAGAGCCTCCCTGTGGCTGCCCAGGTTGATGATGTTCCTGACTGGGTCCCTCTTGGAGGTGCCACTGGGCTCCCCGTTGGGCCTCCAACACCCTGGTGGGTGGTGGGGAGCCCCTTGGGTCATCTTGAACCCTGGTCCTCCTGGGTGCAGCAGGCACTGGAACCATGGGCACATCCAACCTTAATCCCATAGAGTCCTCTTTCTCTTGCTCTTGTGTGCCACAACCACATGGCCTAGCTTTCCTCACTTCCTTCTGGACTCTTCCAGTGGCTCTGCCCAACCCACCACATCTCAGAGGCTTCCCCCCTGCCCATGGGGCCATACACGGGGCCATGGGATTGTGCTGGCCTGGGGATATGTCTACTCAAGTGCCCCATGTGCACTTCACGTCATTAGCCCTTGCTGCCATCCAGCAATATCTCCATTTGAGAATCTCAGTTATTATTTATTTATTTACTTATTTATTTTGAAATCTGGACTTGTCTGCTGTTCACTTTGCATTAAACCAGGGAAGGGCTCAGACCTCACAAGTGATGTTGCTCGTTGGCCAAACTCTCTGAGTTTTCTTGCACTGATGTATTTTTTTTTTCTTGATTAATTCCAAAGTACAGGAAGTTCCCTTCAGAAAACTGGAGAGGCAGATCTTTGCAGATTTTAAATGGGTCTCAATTACTTATCACCCTTAACAGCCATCTTTAGAGCTCACCTTTAATATATGACTTATGAAATCAACTACCACTTATTACAGTGCTAAAGCTTCATTCTGATAGCCTTTTTTTTGCACCTGTGATGTTTCCCAAGAAATATGGGACCTGAATGCCCATCTACAGAGAAGAAAATCTGAATAACTTCAGTGAAAACAGAGGTTACGATAGAGTAAAACTGGTGTAAGTGGCAGGAGAATCAGGCAGGCTTTTCATCTTAAACTTTGTTTGTTTCTTTTATATACCCCACCCTCCTTCATAAAGATGCTAAACTAGTTTATTTAAAGGAGTTGTTCATCCCTGTTTGCCTATCCTGGTGGTATTGCAATATCTCTCTTTAAAATCAACTTAAAAATTTCACCTTAGAGTTACAGGCTAGCTGGCAACTATTCCTTTATAGTGAAAAGCAGAAGAGGTCTTATTCTTAGGAATTTCCCTCCAAAAAAAAAAAATCCTACAAAACTCAAACCCAACAAGAACAACAACAAAACCCCAGCAAAGCCAAAACCCTGGCACCAAAGAGACAAATTAAGCTCATACTTTACCACCCATTTTAGTTTGTCAGCAAAAGTCGGGGAGTCATACAGCCAAAGCTTGGTATCTGCTCCAATACACCCCTAGTCTGGCAATAGTCTGTAGGCATTTCTGCCACAGGAGAAAACATTATGAGTATACAGAGAGACAAAACCAAGTTTTTCAGAATAATTGTATCTACAGACATTGACTTTGCAGTTTTTATATATATCTGCTTGTATATTAATGCATCAGCTTGAATTTGGTCAATAAAGCCTTCTAAAAAGAATATAGACAGCATTATTCATAAGGATTTTATATATATATATATATATATATATTGTGTGTGTGTGTGTGTATTTTCTGTTAACCCAATTCTTGAAGCAGAGTTTCCCACAGAATTTCTTACGCGCTTGTCAGGGCAATACATGCTGTCTAATTATACATATACAGTGAAATCCTTAGATTTCTCTTCCGGGTCTTTTCTCTTTAAGTAACTCAGCCTTTTTTTCCATACGAAAGCCCCAGTTAGGAATTGTTATCGTTTCTTTTTCCCTTCCTGGTTTGTTATCCACATCACTTTTCAGCCACTTCCTTCTGGTCATGAGTGGGGGAAAACCCCAAACAGGGCATTTTAATCTATGCAGTACCGGTGGGAGGGAAGCAGCCGCTAGGGGAGCTCGACGTTGGGAGCAACCTCCGAGCATCTTCCTCACGGCTTGCACAGCTTTCTGCAGTCCCCAGCAGAGGCAGCTGGAAAGCAGGTGTTAAGTTAAAAAAAAAAAAAAAAAAAAAAAAAAAAAAAAGTAATAAGCTCCAAAACTTGTTCGTTTAGTTTGTTGCCTTTTTTTTTTTTTTTTTTTTTTTTTTAATAGCACATAATTTTATAACCAAGTATTTGAAAGCCTTTTTTCTTTTTGTCCCTCTGTATACCTTGAATTGGTGTGTGTGCATATATGTGTGGGTGTGAACATAATCAAGTGCACAGGGGTGAGAAGTTATCATGGCACATACTTCTTAAGTTCCTGGTGACCCATATAAATAAGAGATATTGAAATATAGCTTCTTAAACACCACCCATGAGTACAAGAATATTTAATTTTTAGTCCCACTTGTTATGTTGACTTGCTTTCTTGGTCATTGGCAAGTTACTTAGAACCAATATTTGCATCATATAAACATTGCTAGGAATAAACCTTCAAAGGAAATTATCTATCTCTATATATTTGTTGTTATAAAAATTGTTAACTGGAGTATTAATGGTTAGTATGTTAATTTGGGTGTTGGCTGTTTATCTGTGGAATTTATCTGGGCAACTGAGTCAATGATCATTAGAGGATGTGGGTGTATGAAGAGCCAAAATAGATTTTTTCCATGCAGATCAATACTAGCAGGTTCTTACTTGGCTGTCTTGGGGTCCCACCTATTCTCTAATGTATCTCTGAGTTTGAAGAAGCTATTTATTTTATATATAGTAGGTTTGCTCTCATGGCTTTCTCTTCTGAGGATACTATCTGCTAATAAATTGTGTAAGTTTAACATAAAAAGGGAGTCTATGCTTGATATATATAATTATTGTCCACAAAAGGCTAATGGAAGACATACTTTTTTTAGTAAGACCTACATCTTAAGATATTGATTTCTGTTTAGGGGAAAAAAAAAAAAGGCTGATACATGAATAGCATTGCAAAATGCAAGTAATGCTAGCTGTCTGCCTTGTACTGCTACTGCAGTTTAGGAAAAAGTGCCGAGTCATATTTCAGAATACCAAATATTAATACATCTCCCAGTTCGTGTGATATGACAGCCAGACAGGGGATGCTAAGAGAAACCTGAAGGCATGAGATAAATTCAAACTTAACTTGCTGGCTCTTGCAGTGTGAGGTTGGCTTGCCCAAAGTACACAAACCAACAGACTGGATCAAGGCTTTCTGTTTGGGCAGAGATCAGAAACAAAGCTTGCCCTCTAAAGTCCACCTCATAGCCAGATCCAGCCATGGTAACCACTGTATTCACTGGGCCATGGCAGCAGGAGAGGTATGTGCATGATTGTCTTAGTTTTTCTTGTTTCCTTACATTTGCAGACTATTTTTGAGCATAGTTTACATGTTTTCTTTCTTTTTTCCTGGCATATTTACACCCCAGCTTTTTAAAACGCTTTGTTCATGCCAGTCAGTTTAGCAATGTGCTTGTTAAAACAGTTCCTAATATATTGTATATGACTGAAAATGACTTAATTGTTCTATTTCTTTCTGACCCCAATAAAAAATGTCCCCGATACTGTTTGAGTCGCTCTCTGTTCACAAGCGCCTACATATATGTCACCGGGTGACTTTGAAACACTCCTTAGATACATCAATTCAATTGCTCTTATTTATTTATTTAGATTTGTAATAATGACAGTAAATGGCCATCTGAATCAATCTGGGCACTTTGCAGTCATTAATACTGCAGCATCGATATCACATAACACAATTATAGTGCAATAAATTTCCCATATGCCTCGTCAGTTGCCCAACCAAAATAAGAGCTCCCTATATCTATCATATTGCTCATTTATGTCCTTTCCCTCTAAAACACCTTGATAGCGGAAAAAAGGGCTCTGAAATGTTCCTGAAAGCTTAACAAAACACCATCCTTTCCAAGAGAAGAAGCAGATGTGAGAGCTCAGTAAATTCTGTGGGGATGCTCCATCGGCTAATACATCCTCACCAACTGAGAAGGGCCCAATCCCTGCAGAGTCAACCACTGAAGTTACTTGTGTCAATACCAGAAGTTCTCAGACGTGCATCTTTCATGAATCTCATCTGAAGCCAAATTGTATGACAGCTCAGCAAGTCTTCTGGACACTGGTCTCAACCCTTACGAGGCTTTCTAAGCAGAAACCAAAGCCTGAATTTATGCAGAAACCCAGGCAAACCAAAGCGAGTCACCAACAGCAGTTGTGAAGTTAGTGCGAAACCAGGACGAGAAGCAGGCTGCCACACTCTGGACCATCTTCATCCTCTATATTGCTTTAAGATTAATAAAATGACCATTTCAGCATCTTAATCTCCATGCATGGAAGGTCTGGATTATTGTAGAAAGATTCATATCTAAATATTACAGTCCTCTGTTGGCTGATGATGGAGCGCTGCTTTAGTGCTGCTTCTTTCTGGGCACGCAGTAACAGCATTGATCATTTTTACCTCAAACTGCTTTCTGAAGCATCTTTCCTGGGGGAACAGAGGGAGGGAGGGTACATGGGCGCACGAGGTCCTTTGCTCTTGTGCCAGTGTGGCCTGGGCTGGGACAGCAAAGAAGCTGAAGCTGAACCAATGAATTTGAAAAAGCAGTAGCTTCAAACCTCAGTAATCCCGGGGTTCAAGAAACTGGAATCCTTTTTCCAATTTCCCATAGGATCCCCTTAGAAAACCCATTAGGACAGCTGACTTGACCCTGGTAGGCCTTGATTCAAAGTCCTCTGGATTCAGCTGGAGTCTTTCTGTTGTTTTCAGTGGATTTTGAATCGCTTTGATGTTAAGTCCGTTACATTTGTGTTGCTCAGAGCAAACTGCTCTTGGTGCTGTTAACAATTCCTCAGATTCATACATAAAAGCAGAGAGGTAACACAATGGTTTTACAGCATCAAAGTAGCATGCCCTGCTCAGCTCCCTGGTGAGATTTCTTTGGGTAACTCCACAAGAAACTCTACAGTGTAACAAACTATTAACTATTCATGCTAGACAGTTATGTCTCCTTAGCAATTGTGGCAGTACTGCCCAAATCTGCTGTAACGTGACAACTAATCTATTGGTCAAATTTGTTTGTAGAATTAATCAATTTTAATCAGTAATTGCCTTTGGGCAATAGTTCAATTATGCCCTCATCTTTTGGCTCTCGCTATCAAAAAGACATCTGAATAAGTTTTGAAGAGTAATAAGGCTTGCTACCTTCATGTTCAAAATCAGGCAGTGGTGATGCAGTTGCATATTTTATCCATATAACTGTGGTGTCTTACACATGGCTTCTCTCCGAGCATGGAGTGACAGCACACTGATGAGGGCAAGGTACCCTCACCTATAGGCAAAATAACATTAGTGACCAAGAACGTCAGCCTTAGAGGAGTATGATCTCTCTCCAATGCTGAAGCTATTAGAATGTAGAATTTCTTATAGTTTGAAGAAAAGATAACATTTTTTCTGTTTATTTCAACTCTTCTCTGTATGTTTTTCTAGGAGGAAAAATTAAGCGTGGAGTTTTCTTCATAAGAAAAAAGACCCACACTCTTACAATATTCATAATAAAAATAAATAAACAAAAAAACCCACCTCACTCTATTACTTCACTCAGCCTTACGTTCAGAAAGCAAAATAAATCATAATTTATGCATGGAAGCTTGAAAATCAAAATAGTTACAAAGTAGTGTAAGGGCAGCCTGACAAAATAAGGCACAGACTGTAGGCTAGAAAATAACCCAGCACGTAAACAACGTAAGTGACACAGGCAATTGGGCACTGAGAGCTTAGTGATTTTTGAGACAGGGTAAAACATTTCACTGATATAACCTAAGGGAATTTTGAAATCACTCCAAAATGCACTACCTGAAGACAGGCAATTTTTGGAATGCGTTCATATTATGTCATTATATCTAAATCTGCTGAGCAAAGAGCAGGATAATATTTCTCTTTCCTTTATACTGTTAAAATGAATTCAATTTGGGGCAAAATTAGTCAGCCTTAATCAGTATTTTTTAGCTATTATTATCCAGTTAAATCCAGGGGCAAGTCAAATAGGCTGTAGACACTGGTGCAGCTTGGTATTTCTATTTTTATTCATTTCTGTCTATTGTGGCAGAGCTTAGAAGCCAGAAGAGAACAAGTACCATTTTGCCTGGCTCTATCCAAACAAATCCAAGAAGGTCTCTTCTTCAAAGAACCTACCCTTTTATTTGTACTATGTGTACTTCACCTTATTCGTGTGAAGACCCATTGAAGTAATAGAGCAATTTACAGAATGAGGCATATTAATTTTTCCAAAGTGATGCAGCAAAATGAAACTTCATAAAAGTCCTTATCTGCTGTTAATAGGATGCAGAGTGAAAAATACTTCGTTTGCTTTGGCTGAGGGTCTAATATATACATTTCCAAGCTCTCTGGCCAACCACATCTCTAGAAATTGCTGAGACAAATCTCTGCAGAGTGTTTCAGAAAGGACTGTATGCTTATATAATTAGAGTAGCTAAGCTGAGTAGACAGTTTTAAATGATGTGGGAGCTTTAGTAAGTTTGGACAGAAAGTTCTATTAATTATCTGGTGCCAAGAGGAAACTCTCTCTTTAAACACCTTGTTGTGTAAATACCCATTCCAATGGTCAGCCAAGAGTAGTCACTAGTCCTAGCTGGAGCCAAGGGGGAAAAGTTTTTAAAGACACGTGGTGATTTAGTAGCACGGATGCTGTTTTTAAGAAGTGAATTGTGCATCTGTGGGCTCACAAACAAGGTCCAATTACAGCAGTTTCACAAGTCATGGTGAGTATCCAAGGGTGCACTCTTGGTTGTGGTGCTTGCCTTCAATGAGTTTGTGGGACAGCCTAAGCAAGCTCATGGTGCTTGGTAGGTGTAGTTGGGAGAGCATGTGTGGTTATTTATGTGAGGTAAGCTTCAGCATGGTTACTAATTTAACCTCGTCACCTGAGTACTTCTTCAAATCCTGTAGATCCACAGGTGTCTTAACAGTTTTGAAAATGTCACTTAGGTATGAAAGTGTTGTTCAAGTTGTTTATTAAACCAGGAATCAGACTGTGGATGACAAGTCTACAGAGGAAAGAAAAAAAAAGAACCCCTCAGCTTGTTTTCTTCTGTTTCCAAACACCAAACAGAGAATGGATACCTTTAAATTATAATGGCATTTTCAAATCTGATATCATAAAGTTCAATACGTGAAATTATATTTTTACTAGAATTAAGGATTATTTCAAGTTATGCTTATAAGACATTATCAGCCTCCAAAAGCCCTTTACTAAGACCTTGGCCTTCTATATGACAGTCATTTAGAAAACAAGATTTTTTTGTTCTTGTACTGCACACTTTTTATTTCCTGTTGAATGCATTTATTATGCATTAACATAATTACTTTAATTTATTACCTTAGTAAATGTCAGACCCATAAAATGTCAGAGTATTACACTGCACTCATTCTGTTCAACAAAGAGCCTTGAACAAATGATCAAACTAAGCATCAAGTTTCTACACCATGCAGGTATTTTTGAGAGAGTATTGTGCAATACAGTATGCACTTGTAATTAAATTCTTTGTTTATACCTATGTACTTCTGCTGGGATTCGTGCAGTCTGAGACCTGCAAAGCAAGGTTCAGCTGGCTAGGATAGTGGAATGCCCTCTGTTGCTACTTCTAACAGTAGCTCTTTGAATAAATGAACCGGTTTTCACACCTTGAATTTAAGGAGTTTTTTTTTTTTTTCCATGCAACCTCCAGTTGAGGATTATACATTCATATATTTTTCATAAGAATGCATTGCAAACACTATTCCTGATCTGCTTTGGCAGAGTTCATGGGAATGACTCTTTAGAACTCATGTTCAGTTCATACACTGTCAATAATTCGAAGAGTAATATCCTAACCTGGCATATTCACATAATATATAATTTCAAAGGTTTGCCTCTGATTACGTTAGTGTAATTCATTGACAGGCTCTAGGAAGACAGAGTTCTTCTTGACAAATTATCTACGCTGTGTATTTCCGTAATATATCACAGTGGCTTTGGAGAGGTTCTCTTAAAAAATATGTAGTGTCAAAGAGCTGTGTTAAGGTATATTAGATGTGTCATGTTATGTTTACTCTTGATTTTCTATAAAATATGTACAAAAGTGTTAGGGATTGAGATCAAGGGAGATGAATGAAAAACTGTCAGGGAACCTGTTTCTCTACAGACTGGAGAGAAAACGTAGTGTTTTCTTCATGCTCTGTGAGGGAAGTGCTCTGTAGGACAGATGTCTACTGAAACTTATGGAAACTTCTCTATACAAGTACCTGTTTAGGACTCTGTTAGACCAAATTTTCTGTATGTGAACAGCCCACAGAATACCCCCATGAATGTTACAGGAGACTAACATTGTTTATGAGAGATCATCAACTCAAAAGCCTTATTTCTAAACAGTAAAAGCATAACCTTTTTTTTTTTTTTTAAAACAAAAATCAAAATCTACATTTTTTTTTTCATGATATAAAAATCCAGAATTTCTAACTGCTCAGTTTAAAATAAACATTTAAAGTAGGACATATGGATCTGAAGAGAATATATATATATATATATATAAATTAACAACTTCATCTCCAACCCTTCCCCTCATGATTTTTTATCTCCTGAGCCACTGCATTTTAGGCTAGTCAATTGGCTCCACCTGTATTGCCAGAGGGGTCTGCATTTTGCAGAAGCTACACTTCTGAGGTCTTGTGCACATGCTCAGGCCAGCATTATAAGGTGGTCAGTGGAATAAATATTTATTAATGTTTAATATATGAGGACAAATCCATCCTCTCAGTGTTATTGCTTCCTAGAGGCAATATCTGAGATCTTCTCTACTTCATCCCCTCCCCAAAATACAAAAACCTCTCAAATAATACACAACATGGATCAGTTTAACCAAATCTACCACCCTAGGAAGTCATCAAAAATCATCTGGTGTTGTTACCTCACCCTTGGCTTAAATAGGCAATCAGGACTTCATGGTAGCTGTAATTAGTTACTAGGTAATTGCTAGCTCTTCTGGCTTCTTTCCATCAGCTGTGTCTACCAGGAGGTGTCTGCTTGGTCTCTCATCATGGACTTTCTCTTACGAGGAGGTTGCTGCTATCCTCAATTGAGGCAACAGCAATATGTTGACAGCAGAGAAGCTGAGAAACTTAATTAATTATTATTATTTTTTGGCTAGAAAATATTAGGGATGTCTTCTAAACTGGCTTTTGGGGCACTCATCTTTTTCTCTCTCTCTCTCCCCTGGATCTCCTGAGTTGTTCCTACTAGGAGAGGAGAGTCCAACTTCCCTGGTACTTGGGGTGCTGCTACTAGTGCTCCTTTTGATGCCAGTCTGCCCTCCACCACTGTTTCTGAAGCAACAGAGGCTTGTAGATACCAGCCTTTGTGTCAGGTTCCTCTGTGGATCATTTGCCTGAGAACTCTATTACAGTCTTTCTCACTGAGAAATGCACAGAATGTGAACCTCAAGATATTTAAAAAAAATATAGTAAAATATGACACGCACAGTATTTCATTTCACAACAGAAAATTTTACTTGTTACCTCTCTGCTGAAGAATGAAAGGGTCATTTTTGTCTGCTATATGAGAACCCTTCTTTCATTTGAAAACCATCATTTGCCAGGCTGTGAGGGACCTCAGCTGGGACTGAGTTTGGTACTATTAAGCCAATAGGCTTAATTTTTGTATTGGGACCCTGAACTACTTTTAGTCAGAGGTTAAACACAGAGCTGTTCAACCTTTAACATGCCTTTGGCATAATTTGTGCCACACAAGGATGGCTTGGCTTGGAAGAAGCTCCCTTCCCTCTGTGAGCAGAGAACAAGACACAGGTGGCAGTGTCCCGTGGGATCTTTTCCTAGCTTACTCAAATAATTAAGTAAAAATAATCAGACTGCTAAGTGTAAACTTTTGTGGTGGTCTGTCTCATAAGCAAGTTATGTGGTGAACACAAGGTCAGATGCTGATCCTTGCAGTGTCTAGTAAGTGCTGGAAATTAGGCTTGTAGGTAAGTTGAGCTCTCAGCCTGTTGGCATCAGCTAGTTTTAGCTTCATCTTCACCACCTCAGTTTGAGGACAACCTTGGAACAAGAGACTATTACTGAGATTGTATTGGGGGTAAGCTGTTCTCATGCTTTATCTTCTGCAGAGGCATCGCGATGTGCTGAGGCTGCATGGAGGAGGCTGGAAGGTGCCCCTGTTACCTGGGCAATTTGTGAGCTTCGTGTTACAAAGTGATGTGCCCTGGGCTTTCAGCATGTGTTTGAGGGGAAGGAGAGTCTCACACAAATCAGTAAGCATACTTTATGACAAAAGTTCACTGTGCTTTTGGAACCTATGCTTTGCTACTTCCTCTGTCTGAGTGCTTCAAGCACCTTCAAGTTTTGGGTGAATGCTAAAATTAATTAAAGATAGCTTAAGATCTTGATGATATACTTCTAGAATGAGGTACATCGGAATTGATCTTTGCATGAGCTTTCCACTAGAATGGGGTCATCAGATTTGAGACTTTTTTTTTTTTTTTAAATGTGGTTAGGCGTCACAAACATAGCGGGCTGAGACCAGTAAACTCATTTCATTTTTAATGTATGGCACATTTGAACTTGGCATTTATACTGAAAGACCAGGGTTCAAACTGGCTGGCTTCACATTAGTGCTGTCTCCCACCTTTAACCCACTGCAGCAGAAGCACATACAATGATTTTGGCCAGTGTCCTCACCAGAGTTTGTGTTACTTTGCTTACTTATTAATATATAAATATAAATGCTTAAATGAGCCAGCGAATATTGAACTGGGAAGCAGATTTGAGTTTGACAACTACAAGTAATGCATCTATGTTGGGGGACGGAGAGGGGAATGTAAAGAGGGTGAAAAAAAAAAAAAAAGAGACACACCAAAACCTTAACATTTTCACATGCCAGAGAAACTGGCTTTCATGTACTTTAAATAAAAGAAAGGTAAGACATGTTTGGGCAATAAAGCCGTAGCCATCAAATTCACTCTTCAAGTATACTCTGTTACAGCAGCATGATTCCTTTTATGATTGTATCCATCATGCTGTCAAAAAAAGAAATCTTATCTTCACTCATTACTAAATATACAAAGAGCTGGGATTTCCACTTGGCAAATGCTCCTGTTTACCTGAAGGCTCGATTTTTGCCTGCACTTTGATAAAGTTCATTTGCAGAAATAGACTAAACTTTTTAATCCTTAAACTACTTGAGTTTGTAAACCAAGTTTTGCTCTGAAGTAAGCAGCAGCTTCATGAAGTAACTATTTTCTTTAGGAAAATTAAAGATTTTAGTATGGAAGGAAGCCAAAGGACCCATCTGGATCCATGCTTTCTGAGTTATAGCTCCTGTTTACAACTGCTCTGTCAAAAGAAGTCTAGGTGAGGGTGTCTCCAGCATTTCTTCTCATTTTTTTTCTGTCTTCTGAGTGCGTGATGTAGATGAACTTATTGATGAGTGCCCTTGATTGCCTCTACCACATTATTTTAAAACTAAATGAATATTATTATTACTATTATTACACTTACAACCACAAACCATCAATGAAATTATAGCTTATGTTTAAATGTGAAATGACAAACAACTCTCTACCTAGTTATTTAAACATATAAAACAGGAAAAGGCTGTCAACACAACTCAAGTGCAGAAGTGATTTGTGCAATGGTAGAGGTGATACTCCCTTTGCTTTGGGACTTTACTGTCCCTTTTAGTGGTCACTGCTGTGACTGTGTCCCAGGCTGGCAAGGTTTTGTAGCTTGTATATATCTCTGTGGCCTCTACTATAGATCATTTTGTTCTTCTTGAATCCTATATCCTTTGACTTCAGGGCTTGGAGCTATGTGGATTTTATTTCTTATTTTTCATTTGTCCAATTTCCTGCAGAACTCAGTCTTTAAACTTCAGTCTGGAGCCACCAACAGCAGTCTGGTCCTGCTTTGTCTAATGTGGCATTGCACTGATGGCTGCTGCCACTGAAGGTAGTGGTAAGATTCACCCTGGGCTGAAAAGGAAGACTTAGACCAACAGGAATATTTTTCAAAACTTAGTAACTTCTATTTAATACTTCTTTCTTGTCCTTAGTATTAGTTTCTATTACATAGCATATAAATATTTTATAACAATTGGTTTTATTAATCTCATGTTATTAATTCAAAAAGTGAAACCCAGGTCTGGAGCACTCTCTAATGAACATCTTCCAAAGCAGCCGTGGTCTGGATAATTTAACTATCTGATTCACTGATTCTTTAAGATCACTGACATACCTATATGAACAACTCTCATCTGCATGCTAAGCTGTTTGAATTTTGCACTCCTATCCTGACCTGCCTTATATGTATATGGACTGCATTGCATCCTACATCTACAGGTCAATTCTTTATTGTGGCATGCCCTCCAACCAATACTTAATAGGTTGTGCTTTTGCACAGTGATATATCCTAAAGTCAAGATTTCTGATTTGCTTACATGTGACTTCTCTGTAGTTACGTCAACTATCTTTAATTAAACAATAGCTTTCTAGGTGTTCCCTTACTGTGCTTCTGATTAAAGTTTCCATTAGCTTTGCAGTTTATGAATCAAAATCTGCAATCTGATATATATTTTTAATGCTACCATTAACAGAAAATATTTCTCTGTAATAAAACTAGATATTGAAAAGTTCAGAAGATTTTGCTGCATGACACACGCAGAGGTGAAACTGACAATTTCATTCACAACGTGTTCCCGGCTGCTTGGTAAATTGAGATCAAGCACCTTCATCTTAATGAACTGCGGGACTTTGGGTGAATGCTGAAAACCAAAACAACACACCAAGATTCAAAGCGTAAGAACAGCTATGTTCTGTGTGTCCCTTTTATGTTCAGTTGCAAATATTTGGTTGATTTTCAGGGACCGGGATTTCATATAGGCATTGTTGAAGAAAGTTATGTTCTTCCCACCCATGCTAACTTCCACTGTAAGTGGAATATGTTATATGTGGCAGAAATCTGTTAGGGTGATGATATTCTTTTAAGAGTCCTGATGTGAAGGTGCTTAACCCAGGCAAGGATTTGAGGGTACCTTTGTAGCACTCACACAGAAAATTGCATCACTCTGTTTGAGAGCCAGGGTGGTTTTTGGCAGATGAAATGGTGCAATCAGACAGTGCTCATATTCAAAGGAGCCCCATAATTTCCAGGTATTTCCTGGAATAGTGCACCTCTGTCCTTTCCCCACCCTATGACCCAGAGTGTGTATTGCTCACTCCCGGGCCCTGCTCCTACCTGCCCCGATGAAAGTTTAAATGAGGAAATAGCCATTATGTGGTTGAGTTTAGGGTTGTTTTTTTTTTTTTTTTCTAAAAGGTATGATACTAAGAGTGGTACAATTTCTTCCCCAGATTCAGTCATTTTGCTTTTCTGCTGGCTTCCCAAACAGATGTCAGCCCAATTGCCTCAGTGATGTGAGTCCTCAGTGGCAGAATACAACCTGAATTTTTCTCACCATAAAACATGGCAAGAACTTCTGTTCTTTTTGCACCAGGTTGAAAGCAAGAGCCACTAGATTTTTTATGAAAAACAGACAAAATCACACTCAATAGTAGTTTCCATTTGCACCAAGGATATAGAAGACTGCAGGACAGCCTTGCTTTCCATTTTGGAGAGCAGAGACATGGCTTTCCCATGTTTCCAGTGTATGTCCTAATCCTTTAGCTGTTTTGGAAGTAGATTTTCTCAGTCTTTCTTGTGAGAACTTGATCATTTGTATAAATAATTCAACACCATAATGATAATATCCCACTTTTTTTTTAATAAATAATCCTTTAAATAATCATTATGTCCTAGCCATTAGTCAGTTAAGATTATTCCTCTGTCTTTCTCATGCACATAAACATTTTATTTTGACTAGAACTTCTGCTCCAGACTTGAATTGTCACCAAATGAAGTTTTTTTATATTGTTTGTTTGTTTGTTTGTTTCCCTCAAAAGTACTGGTTTCAACTATCTGGAAATTTCCAATGGAAAAATATTTTGATCAAAACCACCTCTGACTATGAGTAGGTTTATGCAGTTGGGAAAAAGGAATAAGGCCATGCCACGCAACCTGATTAACCAACATAATCCATATTCTCAAATTAGAAAACAAGCAAAACAAGTATATAATGTGAGTTATGAATGTGCATATGTATGGTATATTAATATTATTAATATTATTAGCTATTTTGGTTGCTTGTTTCTCCACACATTTTTCTTATGTTTCTGTATTTATCTCCTTGGGAATGGAAACCAGGTAGTTAAACTATGCTTGTTACCACTCTGACTGCATCATGCAGATGATGTGTCCTCTTTCTGCTTATTCTTTGGGTGAAATATTTCGCTTTGAAATTAATTGTTTTGTTTTGTTTTCTTTGCCATTCTTTTTAATGGGACCAAATATTTCATCCGTATTCTTTAGTCTTGCAGGATCCTGAGGGTAAACCAAATCTTGGTACATCTATTCCCATTGAGTAACATACTCCTTGAGCAATCCCATTGGCTTCTGTCAGACTGTCCAATGGGAGCAAAAGTACGTGAGTCTGGCCCCAAGGTGCTTACACACCTCCTCACTCAGTGGTACCTTGGTTTCGGTCAGTGCCTTTGGGTGCTGCTGCATTGCAGCCTTTAATAATTTGTTGGTTTGTTTCAATTCTCGGAGTGAAATTTTTTTATGAATAGTCTATTAGGTACATGTAGAAACCCAATCTTTGAAAGCGAGAAGATATTCAAGAAAATGTTTCTGTATGGCTATTTCACAGAAGAAAAAAGGATGAGCTCATCCCAGCAACTGCTTGCTTAGTTCTTGGCAATTCACGCTTCTGCGTCAATGGTTCAGAGTCTGTCTGAACGTGCACTGGACTCAACCATTCTGTATTTTCACCCAGTAATTATATTCTGTGAGAGAGAGAGATGCTGGTACCCTATCACTTGCTTTGTGATGGTGCTGGTCTCATCAGAGAGGGCTTCCCTCTTTCTGCTGTGTTCAATCAAATTGTTCATGATTCTGGACTGACACTAGGAATAAGCTTTGTTCAGAAGAATATGTTTTAACAAGAAGAGTAACAGAAGGCCAGTCTTCAACATGTCAAGTTAAATATATACATTTTCCAAACTTATAGGTCTTGAAGATACTGTCAAGGCTAAGAAGTCAGATTACAAGGGATTCATCTCACCTAAATTTATCCTACTTGACACTTAGCAATCTAATCTAAATGTGTTGTCTAGGGTCCTGCTATTGTCAGGGAAAAGAGATAAAGTGCAATGAATAGCCTTCTGGAGGTGTTTGTCTCTCTGCACTGACTATAGGTGGAGCCCAGATAACTGGTTTAGAGTAAATGTCTGACTTCTCATGAGCTATAGTTAGAGATAAGTCAATTCCACCCTCAATTTCCAAAGCCTAAATTTCTTCCCTCAGTGAGTCAGGTAAAAAAGATATAATCCATGTCTACATGCAAGAAGTACCTACACTTAAGGAAAATATCAAAATCATGGCCTACACTGATGGTGTCTCTGTGGGATAAAACAGGAGCCAGTCACTGGGTTCACTAGGGGGAGCTAGGAAGAAACCTGTTCGTCTCACTGAGATAATGGAGTTCATGCTGCAGAATTATTCAAGAGAAGGTAATTGTGGTGGAAAATCCTCAGAGGTCGCTTTCCTGCCAGCTCATGGACATAGTGCTGGATTTGTCATACCTAATTTTCCACCTGGCTTATAACTTCTTGTCCTTTTGATCTTAAGCGCTATTTTTTATCATCTCTCCTGGATAAGGGAAAATGAAGTACAAGATAAGCATGTACTTGTCTTCATAGGAATAACAACGACAATAATAAATCTAGCTAGCTGTAAGACAGTTCTGTATCGAAAAGACTTTGGACATATGATCAGTAATGTACCTTTAAGGTTATAAGAAGCATTACGCATGCGTGTGTACATATGTGTATAGAGATACACATACCTCATATCATGTTTTTCTAAGTGTACATCAATAAAAAAGTCTGACCTGTGTCACTTCTTTCTAAATCAGCCTACTTACACTTTCAATCAGCAATTTTCTTTATTTTCAGTATTTCCCATTTCAGTGGGGTGAGATAAGACAAAAAGCTTGCTACTGAGATTATTGCTTTCAAAGCATGTGCTCTGGATCGCTGGACTCAGATGAGCATGAACTTTTTGCACAAGCAGTCCCAGCTCTGCTGGATCTAGCTGGTTTCTGTGAAAGTGCATATCTGCCTGCAAAATTGATATCCCAAAACATTCTATTTTTATGCTGTGTGTTGCTGTGTTGAGATCTAAAATGTTCAGAATCCTTTTTATTGGACAAACAGAAGCACTGAAATCATGAGGTTCTGGCAGGCTCCAAGCTCTGCCAACTTAACACTTATTTGTGCTTGGCAGACAAAACAGTTTTTAATGTTTTGGTTTTGCTTAGCTAGTCTCCACACAATGTGGGTAATTCTTAGTTACTTTAATCAGAAAGTAGGAAGCATGCAAGTACCACGATGAGACTTCAAATTTAATTGAATAAACCATTCTCTGACAGATTTTAATAGCAAAAAATGCAAATTTGATTTGGGGCGCGCATTGTGTGATTCACGGCAGCTTGCTAATCAGCTGAATTACCTGTTTTGTTATGTCTCTCGCTGTACACCTGAATGAGTCTGATTTATTTCCAGTGCTAGCAAAGGGAATGAAACTTGCTCTCTGTAATTCAAAGTAAAATCCCAAATATTTCCATTGTCTCGAAGGAAGTTATGTTCTGTTGACCTTGGACCTTCAATCCCCTTCCTGTAAAATACAGGCTCAGCAAGGCAGGGTTAGTATTTGCTTCGTGCGATGAGAAGGGAGGGGGTAAGGAAGGAAAGGAAAACCTGGATCTTCTCCAGCAGTAAAAGAGCTCCAGGTAGATCATTGCCAGGTTCTTTTCTGCAGATAAGCTTAAATAGGTGTTACACCCAGTGAATGCTACTGTGACCTGCAAATGCCACAGTGTGACAGAGCCCCATAAAAGAGGCACAAATGAGAGGGAAAACAGAGAGGAAGATTGTGGATCTGCAAAGGAACAGTTCCTCACTTTTCTTCATAACTCTGGTACCAGTTTGGATTAATTCCACCAGCATTACTATAAGATTGCAGCAGGACTGCTGAGACAGGACTCTGTTGTAAAGGCAAAGTAACATGTCCTTTTAGAAGCTGTTCTTGCAAAATACTTTTTATTTTATTTTATTTTTCTGGTGACGTAGTCCTCTGCCTCCTGAATATTATTTCTTGTATGTGTGTGCATCTGGCAGAGAGGGATAGTTGCATAAAATGCAAACTGAAACCACAGCCTCAGCGAGGATTCAAGCAGCTTGGTGAGCTCATCATGGCTCAGCAGTCAG